GGGGGGGGGGCGACAGAAACATACCGGAGCTGGCAGTCATGGGAGGAGTGTTGAGCTTCTCGGAAGCGATGCGGCGGCGAGAGTTGTTCAGCCAGAAGGTCGTCCCGATGATGGCAGCGATAGAGGCCAGAATGCCACCAGTGAGCAGGGGGTTGGCGCGGATCCAGTGGACCAGACGATCGAGGATCATGCTCGACTGATCAACAACCTTGGTGACGAAGCTGGACACCGAGGTGGTGGTGGCCACGGTGCCGGCAGCGCCAGCGGTGGCCAGAGCAGCCGCGGTGGCCGGGGTGACGTTAGGAGGGAGGGAGGTGAAGGTGGGATTGGCAGACATGGCGATGTGTGCGAGGGGAGGGGGGGGGAAGGGGGAGAGGCTTCGACTGTGCCGGCAACGGGGAGAGGCGGCGGGCGGGGGATGCTCAGTCGGGGTGCTGTCTGGAGGGCGCGGGAGAGGGGCCGGGCGCAGTGTGGGCCGGGAAAAAGTACTCCCCACTGCCTGGGACTAGGAGCGGCCGGAGGGGGGAACAGCTGGGGCCCACATGCGTGTGTCTCCGAATCCCAGCATCCCCGTCTGGCCGAGGGGGGGGGGTGGGCTGAAGATACTGAACATCACGCGGTTGCGGGTGTTGGTGCGGTAGCATGGGGGGCGGGAGGCAACGCCGAGCCGGCCTTCCAGTGCACACTGCCCGGGCATTGGGGGTCGGCGCGCTCTTGGCCCAGCAGCTCCGGGGGCTGGAGAGCGTGGGCTCGGCCTCCAGCAGGCCAGGGGGGGGGGGGGGGGGGGGCCCAACCCGCCCCCCGGCCCCCCCCCCCGGGGGGGGGGGGGGGGGGGGGGGGGGGGGGCGGGGGGAGGGAGGGGGGGGGGGGGGGGGGGGGGGGGGGGGGGGGGGGGCGGGGGGGGGGGGGGGGGGGGGGGGGGGGGAGTGCCCAATCCGTCTCTCGGCCGCTCCCCCCGGGGGGAGGGGGGGGGAGGTGTGTGGGTACGAAGAGAGAAAGAGAGAGACAGAGACCGGATTCACCGAGGAGACACTCCCCCGAGGACCACTCCCTCGCGTTATTTGCCTTTACCCCACCCCCGGGGGGCTGGGGCGGAGAGGGCGATCTCCGTGCTCGAAATGCCCCCTTGAACGGGCGACCGTTTGTGCGGCTCTCCAGGCCGGCGAGGCTGAGAGCCCCAGCCAACAACTGATTGTGCAAGCGGCTCCCCGAGCGCGCCGGGGGCGGTGCTATCAGCCCGCGTCCCGCCAGCACAGGCGGGTGAGGCGTTCTCGAGTCTGGTCCCCCCTCGGGGGGGTTGAACTCCAGCGTGACAGGGTTTTTTTTTTGCCACCCGATTGTTCATCACTCAGAAGCACTCCCCCCGGTGTGGAAACTCACCGCCGATCTCCAATGGGAGACCTCTCATACTATCATTGGATAACAGGGCACCGAACACCATTTCCACCGGGGAAGGGTGAGTACTCATTTTCACGCTCCGAGATCGCGTGATGGCATCACGCCGCACGTCGATCGATCGTCCGGCCAACAAGCGGACGCACTTCTCCAAGAGCCCACTGATTTTAGACTGCGGAATCCAACCAGTCCACCCACCTCACACACCCACCAGCAACAGCCCTTCCGCACCGCCCATCTCGAAGTCTCCTCCTTTCCCCCCCCCCCCCTCGGCCTTTGGCTTCCGCTCCGACCGCGCCTCTCCACCAAAACATGGATGACCCGCCAGGTCGGTCCTTTCGCCTTGATGGGCGAAACTCCTTCTACTCGCGGATGGCTCACCAGCTGGGGCCGTCCTTTTTTCTGATCGGTGGCTTTTGGGCCCTCGGATGGGCCGTCTTTGTGCATCTGGATTTCGGTGCCCCCTATTTTGCCCTCTCATTGATCCTGCTGCTCATTCTTTTCGGGGGGAGACGGCGCTCCGAGCAGGGCCCCCGCCGCCCGGGGGAACTCAGCGCCTATGCTGCCTTCAATCCCGGCGGCGAGCGGATCCTCGGTGACCGCAGGCCGGAGGAAATGGTGCGACAGCTGGTTGTCGGGTAGGCCAACCGGCCTGCCGCCTGGTCTCCCGCTGTCATCCTCATTCTTTCCTTTTGCCTCCCCCCCTCTCTCTCT